CCAAAGTCTGAGAGTTAACAACACATTCATATGTAAACATTCTTTTGAAAAGAAGAAAAACTATTAGCCTAAATTCTTTAGTATTCTATTAGGTGACAATTCCAATGTTTACTGCAAATAAAATTAATAAAAGCAGTTTTCCTTTTAAAAATCACACTCCTGGCCCAAATTTTTCTTCAACATTGGTGATGAGCTCTACTGGCCTGACAAAAAGCCCTAGTTGCTTCAGAGTATTCACTCATGAATAATTAGAACTTGGCACTCCCCTCCCTCCCCGCCTTCATTCTCTTTATATGTGTGTGTTTTCACCTATTGATATGCATGTGACAATACAGACATGCAATGTAACAAAAGTAAAAACAAACATCTTGAATGTGCTTTTAAATGACAAGAGAATGCTTTAAAAGCATTTTGATCTTCAAAATTTGATAGAAATCAGTATGTGTTCAACAGTTCCTGTTGGCAACTCTTCAGTCTTACACTGTGACTGTAAAAGAAGGCATGTCCTGGGATGTTGTATCATCCAGGGTGATCCTTGGGATATGAGAATGTCAGATATTGAGGTTCCTGATAGCCTAATCATGATACAGTCTTTTACCTCAAGATCTCAGGCTGTGACCTGGCCCTCAAATGATGAGTCATGACTCCCATTCCCACCATAGGGTACCCTAGTGACCAAGATCAAAATCTGTTTGTATTTAGGTAGCTCCTCCCTACCCCCGCCCCATGAGTTCTGTCACTGGGGAATCCTTGTGAACAGACTTGGGACTTTGGAGATGGGAAATTGTCATTTGCCAAAGTGATGCTTTATGCCAATGACATAGGCCCACTGGTCAGATTTAACGGAGAAGCTTATAGAACTCCTACTTGGTAGAGAAGTTTTTTAAACTAGAACACTAAGCAAACAGTAGTACTTTTGCTTTTAAAATAACTTTTTAAAAAGTGGGAAACAATAGTCAAACCTCTGAAAAGTGTCTTCAGTCCATATGCAGTATCTGTCTACCTCTGTAAGATTTGGCCTCCCAGTTCTGCATACTGAACTATAGCCTCTCAATTATAGTTAAGAGAGCGGGATGGGCACAGTGGCTCATGCCTGTAATCCTAACACTTTGGGGGACCAAGGCAGGCAGAATACCTGAGGTCAGGAGTTTGAGACCAGCCTGGCCAACATGGTGAAACCCCGTCTCTACTACAAATACAAAAATTAGCTGGGCAGGGGTGGTGCATCCCTGTAATCTCAGCTACCTGGGAGGCTGAGGAGGGAGAATCACTGGAACCCAGGAGGCAGAGGCTGCAGTGAGCTGAGATCAGGCCACTGCACTCCAGCCTGGGAGACAGACTGAGACTCCATCTCAAAAAATAAAAAATAAAATAGAGAGCAATGAATGATGGTGATGCTAAAGAAGGGAGCCATCTACTGACAGAGAAAAGTAGAGAGGAACAGAAGCGACCAAAATCTATCTTCTCTGCCTCTCCTTGACTCCGAGTGGCCCAGTTTCTGGAGTGCTAGTAAAATATAAGGTCAGACCTGACTGAAGGAAAACTGAAGAAATTAATCTCTGTGAAATTCTCCTACCTGCCATTTCCTCTTTATTCCATCCCCACTTCCATTCTCCGTCCCATTCCCGACCAAAGGGAAGCTGCTTCAGTAGACCACTGTCCCAGAGGAGTTTGCATTGAAGAGGATACCCTTCAAAGACAAAACCAAGGGGAACTCAGCTATAATTCTGGCATTCTGGAGGGCAGGGTGGTCCTCATGTCCTAGGGCTTTTGAAATGTGTCTCCCCTTGAATCCAGGCCAGAAAACAAGGTCCTCACCTATGGGTTTTCCTATAGGATAACAGGCCAACCTCTTCAGCAAAAGTACCCAACTGCAAGCCAGGTCTAGTGCCAGCTAGACACTCTAGGCTGTTAATTCCTAAGAGGCAACCACAGCTTTGTTGGCACTTGTCCTTCCCTTGACTGACTAAGCTTCAGGAAGGAAACCCAGTTATGGCATCAGCAAATGTCCCAGAAATCCAAAAGACCCTTATAAAATGCTATAGAACTCCAGTTTGGGGTTTAGGGTGTAGGCACCTGCTAGAGAGGTGTAGCTTGAGAAACAGGAATCTGACCTATCAGGAATGGTAGTCGGGGCCTTTGGAGGCAAAGCCAATGACAACTAGCAACATATGCTGAGTGATCAGTTAGAACAAATTCTTTCTCAGGGTCTCCTGTTGTTTCTGTGAGTGTATGCATGTACACACCTGTAGCAAGAACTAAGGAAAGGCATGGTTTCCAAAAGCCCCTAAGAATAAAATTAGAATTCTCTTTGGAGCTGCCCCCAAACCAAGAACATATGCAAAAAGAGCCAGAAGTCAATATAAAAGATCAAACTATAGAAGGACAAGGCATTTAAAATGCAGCAACAGAACTCAAGAGAGAAGCTAACAGCCTACTTCCACCTTTCCTTGATTTTGATTATTTTCATTCCGGGCCCTGGAGCCTCGGTCTTGTCACCTAATATCTCTGTTAATTCAAATTCCTTTCCTCAATTAGCCTCTAAGATTATTCAACAGCAAAGTAAGAAATTGATTCCTATTGTATTTTCCAAGAATCAGGGTCAGATAATGTCATTGTAAAACATCACACTGGTTTTTAAAAACACTGCAAAACAGATTTAAGTTCTATTATATGACTAATTCTAATTCTGCTATATACTTTTTTTTGCCATATTTAATGACTCAGTACTAAAACCCTGTTTAAATATTTTGTGTGTTTCTGGCAAGTAAATATCATTAAAAAATTATTTGCCATTTACAGTGACTCCCTGAAGTGTGCTTTGCCCACCAAAGCTTACTTGCTCTACGTGGCCCCAGAAAAAAAAAAGGTCAATATTGTTTCTTCAGGGGCAGTGCCTCAGAGGTATCCTCTTTTACCCTCATTGTCAAGGGAATGGTTACTTAATCAAAGGTCAATGGGTCCATCTTGAAAATATACTAGAAACAGATTTAATCATCTTCCCTCTTCAGACTAGATGTTAACTACCTAAGCATAATTAACAACAGGATGCCAGTCAATGAGTGTACTTTTTACTTCATGTCCGGGGAGTTTGGGTTTCTTCAATTTAACAGGGTCCTTGGTGCTAGTTATCAAATTGACAGTCTTGACCTGACTTCTAAAAGTGGCTGTAAAATGATGCCCAGTAAATTAAGATAAATGGCAAATTCCTCTGAGAAAATAGGCCTAAATCATTACTATGAAATGGGCATTCAGGTTTGAGGCCAGCACTTTACAATAAGGATATAAATACCAGCCTGGGCATGAGGGAAGATGTGCACTTAGCTATTGTATACACAAGATAACAGTGACTCACTTTGTTCAGCATTATGCTTGGCTGGAGATTTTAAATTCCTTTTTAAAAACAAGACTATTGTACCACAGGGTAAAGATTTTATTATCCTCAATAATGGGATTGAATATGTGAAGGTGTGGAAGCAGGAAATTAGATATGCTGATTCCCCAGTGCCAAGACAGGGGTTCTCGAAATCCACAATGGGTCACTTTGGTGGGCTTTCCATGGTTGCAGTGACCTGGAAACACAGGGACCCAAAGTAGGGAATGTCTGGCTCCAACTAGGAGAGGTGATAGAAGTCATGCTAGATCAGGTCCCAGGCAGCAGAATGGAGTCAGAACATGGGCACTTACTGCACCTCTGCTATTCCAGTATTGCTGAAATATTAATGCAGGAGGTGAAGGCACTAAGCAGTTAAGCAAAGGGGTTACTGATCTGGCTTTTTTCCATAGATGCCACTATCAAACAGTACAGAGAAGCTAACAGAATCACTGCTGACGTATTATATCACTGCTTGATAAGTCATGTACGAGTAACCAAAATTGGTCAAACAGATCCCTGAGGACAAATTGCAAGTCATAAACCTTCAGCCTGAATCCTAATTTTTATCAATAGTCAGGAGAGTTCATATTAATCTTATTCCTTCTGTATTTTCTTCACTCAAACTTCTTCACTCCTACTTATTTTGCTTCCCTCTTTCTCAGATTTATTGCTTTCTGCCCTCATATTTGGGGAAGGAAAAAAGAGGGGGCTATGATTTAGTTTCCTGTCAAGACTCAAATTAAAAGCACAGCCTGTTTATAACTAAAACCCTCTAGTTGGCCACTTTTAAATGAGGTGATGGGACATTAACTCAGAACCCTCTGCTCACTGTCCTCCTCTGCACTGACCCCTAGCCAGACTTGTGGGGATGGAAAGCAAAATTATACATGTCCAGACATCTTCTCTTCTCTAGAGTGTACCACCACCCAGATTGTACCAATAACCCTAAGCTATTAATGGGAAAAATCCCCAAGAGACATATGCACAAGTCTAATCAGCTTGCTTTCTTTTATTCTTTTTAAAGTCAGGGTCTCACTCTGTTGCCCAGGCTGGAGTGCATTGGCACAATCATGGCTCACTGCAGCCTTCAACTCCCAGGCTCAAGGGATCCACCTGCCTCAGCCTCCCAAGTAGCTGGGACTACAGATATGAGCCACCATGCCTAAGTTCTTTCTTTTTTTGAGAGAGAGATGGGGTCTCATTACATCGCCCAGGCTGGTACCGAACTCCTGGTCTCAAGTCATCTTCCTTCCTCAGTCTCCCGAGTTGCTAGGATTACAAGCATGGGCCACCATGCCTGGCCCTACTCAGCTTTCTATAGGCAAAAGTTCATCTGAGTGCAGTTTGGTTGGTGGAACACTCCAAAGAAGAGAACTTTCTTAAGCCAGAGGGAATATGAAGATCTTTGCTTCCCTCGCTGCCCTTTCACTATACATTAACATTTACAATTCATCCAAACATGGGTCTATCTCCCCGTAAGAGAAATCACTGGCATTTACAAACCCTTCACCACTAGGATTCATTACGTTTTGCTTAAGGTAGTAGTCCCTCATAAGCAAGTTGATCTCCCTCTTAAGAGATTAGTTCTTTTAACTTCTGCTCTGGTCTTTTTCTGCCCCCTTAGGTCATGGATTATATGGGACTTTTGAAATGTTATCCTCCTGGAGGAAAACTAGAGAAGACCAACATGTTAAAGAGAGAACTGCGGCAGTCTATGCAGACTCCATGCTCTCCTTTTCTCTCACCACTGCCATGTACCTGGTCACCTTTGGCATAGGGGCCAGCCCTTTCACGAACATTGAGGCAGCCAGGATTTTCTGCTGCAATTCCTGTATTGCAATCTTCTTCAACTACCTCTATGTACTCTCGTTTTATGGTTCCAGCCTAGTGTTCACTGGCTACATAGAAAACAATTACCAGCATAGTATCTTCTGCAGGAAAGTCCCAAAGCCTGAGGCATTGCAGGAGAAGCCGGCATGGTACAGGTTTCTCCTGACGGCCAGATTCAGTGAGGATACAAGTGAAGGCGAGGAAGCGAACACTTACGAGAGTCACCTATTGGTATGTTTCCTCAAACGCTATTACTGTGACTGGATAACCAACACCTATGTCAAGCCTTTTGTAGTTCTCTTTTACCTTATTTATATTTCCTTTGCCTTAATGGGCTATCTGCAGGTCAGTGAAGGGTCAGACCTTAGTAACATCGTAGCAACCGCGACACAAACCATTGAGTACACTACTGCCCAGCAAAAGTACTTTAGCAACTACAGTCCTGTGATTGGGTTTTACATTTATGAGTCTATAGAATACTGGAACACTAGTGTCCAAGAAGATGTTCTAGAATACACCAAGGGGTTTGTGCGTATATCCTGGTTTGAGAGCTATTTAAATTATCTTCGGAAACTCAATGTATCCACTGGCTTGCCTAAGAAAAATTTCACAGACATGTTGAGGAATTCCTTTCTGAAAGCCCCTCAATTTTCACATTTTCAAGAGGACATCATCTTCTCTAAAAAATACAATGATGAGGTCGACGTAGTGGCCTCCAGAATGTTTTTGGTGGCCAAGACCATGGAAACAAATAGAGAAGAACTCTATGATCTCTTGGAAACCCTGAGGAGACTTTCTGTCACCTCCAAGGTGAAGTTCATCGTCTTCAATCCGTCCTTTGTGTACATGGATCGATATGCCTCCTCTCTGGGAGCCCCCCTGCACAACTCCTGCATCAGTGCTTTGTTCCTGCTATTCTTCTCGGCATTCCTGGTGGCAGATTCACTGATTAATATCTGGATCACTCTAACAGTTGTGTCTGTGGAGTTTGGAGTGATAGGTTTCATGACATTATGGAAAGTAGAACTGGACTGCATTTCTGTGCTATGCTTAATTTATGGAATTAATTACACAATTGACAATTGTGCTCCACTGTTATCCACCTTTGTTCTTGGCAAGGATTTTACAAGAACTAAATGGGTAAAAAATGCCCTGGAAGTGCATGGGGTAGCTATTTTACAGAGTTACCTCTGCTATATTGTTGGTCTGATTCCTCTTGCAGCTGTGCCTTCAAATCTGACCTGTACACTGTTCAGGTGCTTGTTTTTAATAGCATTTGTCACCTTCTTTCACTGCTTTGCCATTTTACCTGTGATACTGACTTTCCTGCCACCTTCTAAGAAAAAAAGGAAAGAGAAGAAAAATCCTGAAAACCGAGAGGAAATTGAGTGTGTAGAAATGGTGGATATTGATAGTACCCGTGTGGTTGACCAAATTACAACAGTGTGATAATGTCCACTTGGTATATTTTCACCTTAGGTCTTATCAAGAGCAAAGAGATTATGTTAATGAAATAATTAAATTCAAAGTTGTTCCCTTTTTTAAAGATAAGAAACAGGCATTGACAAAAAAAAGTAAAGGGCAGTGGGAGGAGATGGGCATGGTATATTTTCAGTCTTTAAAACAATAGAGTTGTTATGAGAGTACACACACACACACACACACACACACACACACAGTCTCTTAAACTAGGATCAAATAGAAGGAAGCTTATTAACAAGCAGGATCCTATCTTATCCAAACTGCAGATGTTGCTGGCATTGTGACAAACCCCACTGATTGAAAGGTCAACTGCTAAAGCAGAAATAGCTTTAAGCATTGTTCAAACAGTAAGGCTTCCAGAACTTCTGTAGAGCAGTAGCTCTAGTCGTGGTCTATGGTTTGAGGTTTTAGCCGTCTCACCTAGCTCCCTAACACCCAAGGAGATGCTTGTGAAAGTTCTGACTAGCAAAACCAAGTCAGAGCCTTGGAAACTGAAATGTGGTAGAATGGCCATCACTCGTAGACTAAAATTGATTCACTCCTAAATTCACCCAGGTGAGGCTGTTTTGTTGTCTAGAATGAAATTCCCATATTCCTCCATTGATATGCTTTTAACATTTGTATAGTTTGGTTTGGTTAAAACACCTTAAAACCAATGACAACTCCAGCATTGCAGAATTGGTGTGATTCTATTTTGGAATAGCTTGTCACTTGTCACCAAATAGGTCTGCTTTATTAGTTACAGCTCTTGGCAGAAGGATCCAGGGACCCAAAACCAGAGAGCCAAACCCAAATACCTGGCATGACGGAGCAAAAGCAGGTGTCTACTTGGACCCAGATATAGTGTCTCCATTTGAACAACAACAACAAAATAGCCAGCTGGTACAGCTGTTTGTGGTTGGCCTTACATGGATTTTTTTGAATGGATACCCAGAAACATCTGCCCACACATAACTGAGGGGAAAAAAAATGAACACTGAAATAGTTATTTGCTGTTGCTTCCAACTTGTAGTGCCAGTCTGCCTTTGGTATGAAACATGCCTGCTCAGAGACAGAGGGGAGAAGAAGATCTTTGGTAAGTCTAAGTCCTAACACTGAGTTTGTAAAAGTGCAGGGAGATAAAGGGCCAAAAGGGGGATAGGTGGAAAAGACTGGAAAAAGTCATCACTAATATAAATCTATCAATGATGGCAGTCCAATTTTCTTGCTAAACTGGCTGCACATCACCTTGCTGGTCCCCTCACATACCTTTTTTGATGCCCTTCTACTTCTTCATAGCAAGGCCCTTCTGTACATTAGCAAGCCTAGATATTTATACTTTCGACTTTGACTATCTACAGAAGAGTGGTTCAGCTAAACGGAAATGGTTTAGATTTTAAAAGGCTGTATACATTGCCCAGGCCCCTGCATTTCTTTAAATTTATAAAAATGAAGCTAAAACCTGGTTACATTTGAAGCAAATATCTACAGTATTTTTCCCTTTTAGAGATGTAGCTTATTTAGACATCTATAGTAGTAAGCATTTCCCAAAAGCATTTTACCTTTCTGAACCTTAACAGACATACTGTGCAACTTACCCATCCTCTGCAGAGGAGGAAACTGAGACCTAGGAGAATAAGGTGACTCACTCAGGTCACACCACTAAAGGATTTTCATCATTTCAGCATACCTAAGACAGGGCAGGCCAATTTTCAGTTTTCTCATAAGACGGCTATTACTCCTCTCAAAATGCATTTCCAAGGAAGGAACATACAACTTTATTGGCCACAGGGCAGACGTTTTTATAGTGTCTGTGATTAAAATGTTTGAGGTTTAGGTTTGCCATTGTCTTTCCACAACAGCAAAAAAGCCCAAATAATTCAGATGTAACCACACTAAGTGCAAACCTGTGCTTTCGATTTCACATACTATTGTCCATACAGTTCTAAATCCATGTGCAGGGGATCACAGCTAGTGCATTACACACTTGGTCAGTCTCCCCTGCAGACACACTAAGCGATAATACCAATGTGTTATGCACTCAACTAGAAGATAATAAGCTTTAATCTGAGGACAAATACAGTCCTCACAAAAGGGCAAGTTTGCATAACAGATCTTCAATCAAGTCTCTCTCCAAGGGGCCTGCAAGTAGGCTATTATTTATAAAACACAACTGAAGAGGGGATTGGTCTTATTCTTAAATCATATGTTGCTAAATCATTTTCTGAACAGTGTGTTCTAAATCAGTCATTGATTTAGTGTCAGTCACGTGGAGTACCTCGGCTTAAAGCGACTCCACAAAACTGACACAACACACTTACCAATTAAATGTATTTTGTTGAGAATTTAATCATTCAATCTGGTCAACCAGAATGACTTACTGTGGAACTTTGTTTTATGAGAGAGAGTTTTCTAACTTGATTGAGTCTCTGTATACCTTGGGATATCATATTTTTTAATGAAGGGCCTTTTCAAATTTGTCAACTTCTCTTTTCAGCCCTTGAAATGAAGGCTTATGGAATTCCGACTGTGAAATGAATTTTTCTATTGGGAGATTATGCATGCCAAAATTTATTATTTATTGTTAGATAATTATTTATTTGTTAATATTGATTATTGATTATTGCTCTGTCACATTGGTTTAGCCCCACTGTGCAGAAGACACTTTAGAAGTAACTCAGACTCCCATCTCCATAAAGTCTAAGTTTTTACTTCATCAAGTTTTACTTTTTGAATTGCTATAAAGAGGGAAAAAGTAATCCCTGCAAACACTTAAAGAAGCTGTGTTTTTTCTTTCAGTTAATTCCAACCAAGACGTTAACGTCCACTTTACCAAAGAAACTTATTTGGTTGGTTTTGAATTGGTGTTTGTTGTTTGTTTACCAAAGAAATTATTCCATTTATCAAAATATTTCTCCTGGTCAACTAAACAACTGTGATACCGGGTCTTTTTTGGCCATTCATAAGGAAAATTTTTAGAAGTCAGGATAAGGGTGATATTCTCTCATTTAGTGAAACTCAGAAGAAGATGTAAATTCACAAGGAATGTGGTGTTTGCAAAAAAGAAAATGAAACCTGAAATAGGACGTTATTGTTTAGTCCTACAGCAGCATTCACACAGGTGGCATCAGGGTTCCTCAGGTTAAAAGAAGTAGTTTGTTCCAGAGATAAAGGAAGACAAACCCTCACGAAATGTTTCTCCATTGTTCCAGCTCATAAGTTTTGCTTCATTTTGGGTTTTGGAGTTTTTAGTTTCTTTGGTGTTTGTTTTGCTTTTATTTGGTTTGTGGTTTTTGTTTGCTTGTGTTTGCTTCTGCCTTTCCAACCACTTTTACTCCCTCAGTTTTCAGTGAGAAGTGAGATAATCAGATGCCACCCTCCATAGCCACACTTATTTATGCAGTATACTGCTCCAAATGAGGGCCTTGGTAACCCTTATGACCCTTTTCTTTAAAGTACCCACCACCCATTTGTAAGTGGCATTCTGGGACTATGACACCACTTTTCTCCAGTGCCAATGACAGAGCTCAGCTGTGTCCATCACAAGAACAAGTGGAATGGGCAGGTGCCTTGGGGGTGTGGCATGAGGCAGAGCCTTCTGGACACAAATGTTATCTTCCTCATAATGACTTTAATCTTTTGGATCGTATTTAAGTACCCCTGTAGCTTTATAGTAGCATATGATCTCTGTGACTCTGTTTTCTCATCTGTAAAATGGGGAGAATATCAGTAAATTTCTTTAAATTCAGCATATAATTATTGAGTGCCAAATATTGCCCAGATACTGTTCTAGAGACTGGGGGCACAACAGTCAACAAATCATATTTTTAAAAATCTGTTCTTGTAGAGCCTACCTTTGAGTGACATTGCCGGTATATTGTGGGGATTGAGTGAGATGAGAGATGACATTTGGAAAGCACTCTTGGAAAGGCCTGGCAAAGAAAAGAGACTCAAAACATTGTTTATAAATTGTCAATCTCGCACAGTAGCACTAGGACTCAGGATGTAAAGCTACTGAGAAATAGATTGGAGCCTGAGATTAGGGCTACAAATGCAATGAGTCGTCACAGAAGGTAGTTAATTGCCAGTCATTTTAGGACATTCAAAATTAAGCTGATCACCACTTAGTGGGGCCACTGTAAAGAGAGTGCAAGCCCTGGATGTTGGTGTCATACTACCATCTTTGAAAAAAATGGATACAGGCACTTGTATTTGAGGATGGAAAAGGGATTATTGAATAACTATGCCTGGCTTGTCCAAGGGAATGCAAACATTCCCTGTAGGTAATTTGCTTTAATTTTGTGTTAAAAGCACCAGGTATTAAAAGACATAAAGTTCCTATTTTTTAAAAGCATAGTAAAGCTGCAATACAAAGGAAAATATTAAGTTAGTGGATTTGCTGGCAAAGAACTAAGAATGGCTGCAGCCAACACATTGCAGAGTTCCTCCCTGTGGTGGTTACAACTGTTTATTTCTGTTTCATGCCAGTCTAGGAGAAAGCAAAGAGGAAAGTGGATGAGCTATAATCAGTTCACCTGAATACGCAGTGCCAGGATGTCCCTCCCAGTTTGCCTCTCACCTGCCCTGCTTCTGCCCAGGTGATTTGTTTGAAATCCTCTTTGATATCTATGAGAGTACCGTGGAAGGAAGAAGTGAGGCAACCAGAGAGCTATGGCCTCTGTGCAGATTTTTGAGTTAGATTAAAATTAGCACCACCTGATTAGAGCCTGTCTGGTCAGGAAAGCAGCCTTCTTTTCAAAGTACAAAGAAAGCAATGCGTACCAAGGAGGCAACCAACAGAGAAACCTTAGTGAAAGAAGTGACGTTCCTGTGGAATGTGCCAGCAGCTTCTCCCTCCAGAATGCTGACACCGGATGAATCTTTGGTTAGAATTAAGCCTACCCCTTTTTTTTTTCACATGAGAAAACAGAAGCTGGAGAATGAAATTATGTTCACAAAGCTAATTAGAGACAGATATGACACTATAATTGAAATCTACTTCTTAGCCTTAATTCTTTCTCCATTCTGCCACTTTCCTGCCAAATTCTATTTATCTAAATTGTGGAGGTCTTAACCTGGGGGCCATGAATGAGTTCATGGGAGGGGTCTCTGAGCTCCCTAAAATTAAATTATATGCAAAAATGTGTGTATATGTTCAACATGTGCATTTTCCTAAAAGAGAGGGCTCATAGTTGTCATCAGATTGCAAAAGAGGTCTGTGACCCAAAAAGGGTGAAGAACCACTGTCCTCAATTAATAAAGTCCTCTTTGGGAGTGTGATCCTGGTGTCCTTGTTTTGGCTAATGAGCAATCAAAAACTTTTGAACTATCTTTTCTCTAAGGAACCAAAAATGCTTCCAAAGTTTGGTTTCTTCATGCCAAGCCAAGTGCCTACTTCTATTCATTTATTCTTCATTCATTCTTTCATTCATTTATTCTGAAGACATATTTTCAGTGCCAATTCATGTTCTTGCACCAGCTAAATATGCCCTCCACAGTAGGACAAGGAAAGGAGCCCTCTGTACTGTGCTCTTGTTGGCAAGAGGAATACCAGGTTGCTACCACATTCTCACTGTTGCAACAAAATATATATAGCCTCAGAATTTCAGTAACCATCCCACACACACATACACACATAAAAGCGGCAGCCAACAAAGCCAACATATAGAAGTGTGCCCTGTCAAAGAACCAGGGAAGAGCAGCCTATTTCCAGGTTATATATAGTTATATGCTGCTGTGCAACTTTCACATCCTTGGAAGGGCTGCTCCCAAATGAGCCCTACTCTGAGATGTCTATACCAGGCATACTTTCACACATGTGCAGTAGCCTACTCTCAAACAAATATGGAGAGAATAAGTTTCATTCATCTTGATAATATTTGTAGTGGGCAAAGAAGAAACCATGGCCATGGACAGATGGGTGCATTTAAGGACAGGTATGGCTGGGTGTGGTGGCTCACACCTGTAATCCCAGCACTTTGGGAGGCCAAGGCAAGTGGATCGCAAGATCAAGAGATCAAGACTATCTTGGCCAGCATGGTGAAACCCTGTCTCTACTAAAAATACAAAAAAATTAGCTGGGCATGGTGGTAGCTACTCAGGAGGCTGAGGCAGAAGAATCGCTTGAACCCAGTAGGCTGAGGTTGCAGTGAGCCGAGATCGCACCACTGCACTCCAGCCTGGTGACAGAGCAAGACTCCATCTCAAAAAAAAAAAAAAGGACAGTTGTGTCTTATACACAGATATGCAGAAGCCCAGTTCTCTTGTTTCCTATTCAGAAGCTAGATAAAATGCAGGTTGCTGAAGGAAGTTGGAAAATAAATGACTGTACTGTACTTGTTGGCTCTGCTGCTTCTGGTATAACTTCAGGCACAATGGAATCCACCTGGGTTGACCTAAGGGAAAGGCTGAGTGAATCCCTACTTGGCCTTGTTTGAAGGACCAAGGAGGCACCAATAGCTGATCAGTGCCCCTTCCATCATCCTCTGCCCAGCCATGATAAGGAAAGCCTTCTGTTGAGATGGAAGAATATTAGTTCAACTTTGTAGCATCTGATGTGAAGTTTGAGGGCTTTGTTCTTTGGGATCTACAAAGTGCTTTGTCTAATTCCTGCAAAGTGGCAAAGACCCAACCCATTTCCATTACTCATTCCAGGTTCATGCTTAGGAAAACTGGTAACATTCTCTTCAGCAAAACAATTTTCTTAATGATTCCTTAACATTTTCCTAGGATGAATCTTGAACATGTTTAGCTCAGCCTTTCAGATATTTATTCTTTAAATTACCATCCTGTCAAAATTGCCTTTGCCCACTGATCCAGAATCACCAAGGCAGTTGTCATGATATCTCCCAGGACTGTGGGTGACTGGGCAAACTGGTAGTGACCCATTGGCTCTGCTTCACACACATACACACACTGGCACATATATGCACACATGCACATATTTGTGCACAACACAACTATAACACATAGAAACATATACATATGCACATGTTTACATACACACATATCACAAATGCGCATATACACATACACATGCACACCACCTTTTACAAAACACCTTACACATTTGAGGCACATTGAAATGCCTTGGCAAGCCCAACCCTATGGTTCTTTAAGGTTTGGCAGGCCAAGGGCTTCAGATGTCTGCAGGATACCATTGAAAAAATGTTATCTTCCCCTTCTATATGTTTCTTGTGCATGAGCATAGCTAAGAGCAGGCAAACTATCCTTTAACGAAAAGAAACCTGGAAACGTGAATGTGCCTTGCAATTTAAAAATTGCTAACAGTTTCATAGTGGGAAAACTGCATTTGTTAGAATTTTCCAAGTCATAAGCAAAAAGAATAGCATAGACCCAAAACCACAGAGATCTCTCCCAAGGTCTGGAATTGTGGGAATTTATTTAGAATATTTGCTTGGTGATCCAGAGAAAGGGGAAAGAAGTGGGGAAGAAGGACATATGGGGTGGTCCCACCATCTTGCCAACTCCTCATCTTAGGAAGAAGTGGGCAGTTTCCATTTATCCCTAGCATCAGTTTGATGGGAAAACTGGTGAATTTCATCCACCTCAAGGAAAGGAAGTGCCATGCATGGAAGCCTGGTGATAGGCAACATCCATTTAGGAAAAAAGTCACACAAGCAACAGAAGAACTACCCAAGACTAGAAGCTTATACCAGTCTCTCTCTCTCTCTCTCTCTCTCTCTCTCTCTCTCTCTCTCTCTCTCTCTCTCTCTCTCTCTCTCACACACACACACACACACACACACACACACACACAGTAGTTGGGAGTAGACATTAAGAGGAACCCTAATACAGTTCCCCCCAAAAAATCTTGGCATACACTATAACAGGGAAAAAATAATTATTGAGAAGCTGAAAACAACCAAATCTGTGAGGAATGACTGAATATATGAGCTGAGAATAATGTACGTTTTTCTGGATTCTCTATAAGATAAAGATATAGAGCCTGAATCTATGCTTTTCTAAATAAAGGAACCTCCACATTTTCTTTTGAATTTTTGATCTATAATTCCTCTTCAGCAACTTAGAATACACTCAAGTTCTTTTCCTATTGCCTACAATCCCATAATACAAGCACCCACTATTTGTTATGGCTTATACCTGGGCTTAGAACCCATGAGCAGAATTATTGAATTATTGAATGCTAGGCCCAAACAAAAGAAATTTCAGCTCGGTTTTAGTAATTTCTTGATCAAACTTCTCTCATTTCTGTAAATGTGCAAATATTTCAAACTTGTAAAAAGTATGTCTACAAAGCCAATGCTCTTAGTATTTTTAACATCAAAGATAACTTCTGCCAATAATTATTAATGACAAAGCAGTCATTATTGTTTGATGTTCCTTTAACAGTCCAATTGTAGTAGGTGAGAAAACAAAAAAAAGAAGAAAAGCTATGTTGAATATTTAGTAATGTTGGAAAAGATCCTCACCCTAGACATAAATTAGTTTAAACATTTAAACATGGCCCCTCTCTTATTGTCATTGCTAGTGAAAGAAGTTCCTGAAATTACATATTATTTTGTAAAGTTTTGGGCTAAATCACAATAAATTTTTATGTTGCTTCCATGGAAATAGATCATAAGACCACAGTTTGTCAACCATTCATTCAGTATTCAGAAATCTTATCACCTATGCCTCCAGAAAGAACCATAGTTATATTATGTTTCACAGTATTTTAGTTGGGTGATTCTGGTCATAATAAACTATTTTCAAACTAGGAAAAAGTATCAAAATGCTAGAGTACATAATGAGTTCAGCTTCATCAGTTTTTAGACAGATAAGCATAAAACCCTACTGGAAAATAATAACAGTCAAACTTAAGAGTTTTACAAAGTGTGAGTCACGTCACTTTTCTCCATGACAGGCAGCACATGATCAGGTGGAATTTAATCAAAAATGTACCCAGAATAATTTCCCACAAAGAGTTGTAATACTTTGCAGCAAGGGGCATTAATAAATTATCATTTTTACCTAAAGTCAAGAGACACACAGACCTTTTTTGGTGCCCCTCTACATTGTCATAGCAAGGCCCTTCTGAACATTAGCAAGCCTAGATGTTTATACCACTTATTTGCAGTATCTATAGGGGGATGATTCATGAATAGAAACAGAAATGTTTTATCTGAAGAGGCTGTGTATGCCAACCTAGACCCCTGCATTTCTTTATAAAAATAAGACTAAACTTGTTACATTTGAGGCAAATGTGTACAGTATTTTTTTCCTTTTAAAGATAGTTTAAAAAATCAATGTAATAACAAATGGCCAACTCTTTCAAAAAAAAAATTCCTGTATTTTGTACTACTCGAGTTTCTCTAATGCCTAAAATATGTATTTACATCATCCCACACCTACACAGAAACAAAATCAGCAGGGAAAACCATCCCACTGATGATTGGCAATTCCACAGTTCTTCTCCATCTGACCAGCTTTCACCAGAGGGCAATCTTTCATGCTTGCACATGGAGTTTATACACTGTAGAAGCCCCCAAGTCACTTAGCACACTAAACCTGGGAAATGGATCATGCCAAATACATTGAGTCCTTAGTTGACTATCTTTTCATATTAAAATCCCATCTTCCAATGAAGCATCCTGTTTTCAATCTTGATATCAAATTTCAAATGTAAAGATTTCAAATGTATTGCTTTCACCTTTGCTTTTTTATTCATTTATTTTTAATTGACATAAAAATTGTATATATTTATGGGATACAATGTGATGTTTTGATATATGTATGCATTGTGGAATGATTAAATCAAGCTAATTAACATATCTATCACTTCACATATTTCTTTTTTTGCTTTAAGTTTTTCAGACATATTTCTAATCCTCTACTAGATACAACAGAGACTCAAATGTCAGTGGGCCAGGGGAATATCTCCAGTTTGATTTTTTTTCTTTTTCTTTTTTTTTGAGATGGAATCTCACCCTGTCACCCAGGCTGGAGTGCAATGGCACAATCTAAGTTCACTGCAACCTCCACCTCCCAGGTTCAAGAGATTCTCCTGCCTTGGCCTCCAAGTAACTGGGTTTATGGACACACGCCACACCTGGATAATTTTGTATTTTTAGTAGAGATAGGGTTTCACCATGTTGGCCAGGGTAGTCTCGAACTCCTGACCTCAGGTGATCCACCCACCTAGGTGTCCCAAAGTGCTGAGATTACAGGTGTGAGCGACACGCCTGTTCTTTTCTTTATGTTCAGGTATTTCATTTCTCTTTAAGAGTAATTAGTATGTGTTTTTGTTGCTGTTTATGTTTCGTTTTGTTTACACTAGATGAGCAATCAAAAAAAGTGTCTATGACTCAATATCCTACAGGTAAAGGTGTGGGGTTTTCACTTGTTTGTTTAGCAGCAAATGTCTTTATAAAACCTTGTATATGATGCTTTCTTTGGCTTAACAGTCACAATGTTACAACTCTGTCTCTGATGAAAGAAAAGAGAAACCAGTTCCTGGCCTTAGTTTAATATATAATCACAAATGGGGAAATAAAAGTTGTAGTGGGAAGCACCCTATATGCCTACCTGCCTGGGCTTACAGGAAGTCAACAGAGGCCTAAGAAAAAATATAAGGTTGGCCTCTTCTTTCTGTAGAATTCTGGTTTTCCCTGGGCATTTGGGGTTGAGGGAGAGGAAATGTTGGGTGTATTAGTTATAGGTCATCACCTGTATGGAGAGGGAGGAGAAAAACCCTAGGAGGAAAGTAACAAAGCAGTATATATACACGGGGTATCAAAATAATTGTCAGGAGTTGGTGGGTGAGTGTTCTTTTTTAGTTCATTTCACAGGACTAACTAAATGGATGAATGATTATCACTGTCACAAAAGAAAGTTTGAATCTAAAATTATGTGTCACAGGTACCAAATTACAATATCATAATGTGAAGAATTGGGATGATTTCAGATTTTGTTTCAATAGTACTGAGCTGGAACCCAGCAGCTGGGAACAGCTAAAGGAGAAGTAGCACTCACTTCTGTCTGCTAAAGTCCTTATTTAGCCCATTTCCATGGAAACTAAAATCAGATCTCTCTCTCTCTCTCTCTTTCTCTCTCTCTCTCTCACACACACACACACACACACACACACACACACAGTTGGGGGGGCATGTCTAGAGTTTGGGGTGTGTGTGTGTGTGAACATATATAGGATAATTTCTGCATGAACATTCTCTTATTAGAGATAACTCTCCAACAAATGGAAGAAGGGTCAGCAATCCAGGCTGACTTCCTTTTTTAGAAGGCAAACCCGTAATGCAGATGAAAAACTCAGGTTAGAAAAGTAAATATATCACACCAGCCCTTTGCTACCAATTCCTTGGGGCATTCCATTTCATAGCTGCATGTTCAATTAATTTAGCTAACTTGGAAATATTTTATGGTGAGAAGACAGCCACTGAAACTAAATTTAATCCCTTGGATTTTTGCCCACTTTGCTTTACTCTGAAGCATTGACATTTCCCTATATAGCCTGGAAAATAAAGGCTAAGGGAAAAGAGAAAGTGAATTAGTTTATTTTACTTTTTCAACATATACCTTGTTAAGTTTCTATCCTAATGGAAAAATGATAGGTGCCTATTCCAGATTTATGGGGACATTTTATAATAAATGATTCCATCTTAGTCCACATCTCCCTTAAAGACAGGCCAACACTCAAGTTGCTGCTTATAAAAGGGTACTGATAAAACCTTCCAGTAGGGGTAGAAAAAGAATAAATACTGTTCCTTTCAATGAGGTCACCAGGCAACCTGGATGCCTTCTATACATGGAAAATTTTCGATAGGGGAAAAAATTTTACTTCCTATTTCTGTCTTTTTTTTTCTATGAGAAAAGATAAAAATAGGATTTCTTTTTAGAGAATTTTCACTTTAAAATGGACTGTAGATGATGATTTTGCATCTTAAATTAGGTTATTTTACCATACCCCTTTGAAAAATTGGTGAGTATTGCAGCTCATAAAATATTTATCTTTTGCTAGAATCTAAAATGGGATGAAGAGCTGTATGTTTCAGCTGGCATAGATGTACAGGACAATAGGGTTTGATCTTAAACATAAGTGACTTATTTTGTTTTAGAGACAGAATTTCACTATGTTGCTCAGGCTGGGGTGCAGTGGTGCAGTCATGTAGCCTCGAACTCTTGGGCTTAAGCAATCATCTTGCCTCAGCCTCCCGAGTAACTAGGACTATAGGCACACACCCCCATGCCTGGTTAATTTCTTTTGTAGTTTCTTATAGAGATAGGAGTGTCCCTGTTTCCCAGGCTAGCTTCAAGCTCCTGGCCTCAAGATGATCCTCCTGCCTCATCCTCCCAAAGCTGTGGGATTACAGGTGTGAGCCATCACACAGTCCATAAGAGTATTTTTTTTAAAAACTCCCTATAGCATATTCTCATTTGTGCTTCATAATTGAATAGGCAGTCTTCTGAAAGGATGAGGGAGCTGATAGTGTATATTCAAAACCAGGGTGGGGCAAGCAATTGTTATATTTTATAAAATTTAAATATTTTTAGAATTATAAAATTGATAAAGGGCTAAAGTCTACTCAAAACCACCATGAGGGGGGCAATTATTTTACTTTGTAAAATGGAAAAGTCATTTCTTAGATTTAAAAATAATCAAAAGTAAACAGTGAGGGGTGACAAAACTAAAATTTCTCATACTAAGGCATGGCTCAAGATGCCATACCCTACCTTCTTGGAGGCAAGTACTATCTCCCCCAAGGTGTTACACTGAGATGACATTTCATCATCTACATGAAAATCTTCATTTCTACAGACAGCATCACTGACTCACAGAATATAAAAACAAAAACAAAAAAAAACCTGGAGTCAAAGAACCTAAACCACCAAGTTCAAAAACTTCCACTGGGAGAGCTCCCTAAAAGAATGTACCATGAGTACCCGTCCCTATAGCTTAAACAGGAATACAGATGTTGAATCTATAAGAATAGAGTCCTAGAAACCATCAAATAAAGGATCCCAGGCTGTTATATTTGTCTGCAATTATATGAATTAAGAAATGTATGGTTGTTAGAAAAAGGGGCCCACTTAATATTTTTCCTTGACCTTGCATTATAGAAAAAATATAGACTGACCTCCCCAAAAAACCCTGAAGGAGTACTGAATATGGTTAACAGACCTTGGCAATTGATGTTCCATGGCTAAAAAGTAAATTTTAGAATGATCTAGTACTATTGAATAATTTCTGTACACATATACACTGAGTCCAAAGCTTAAACTTGAAATAACTATAGTTGTGGGATTTGTATCCCAGCATTTCTTCTGTGGATGTGAAAAGAAAATCTGGAAATTCAGCAATGGTATTAAATACAAATTTACAATATAACTTTACTTTCAATCCTTCTAGGGTCTGGGCATTTCCTTTCTATTACTAAAGAAATGGAAAATCTTAGCATGTGAAAATATTTTGATCACTGCATTAATTTGAATGTTTTTTACTCTCTAGAAATTTTCTTGCTCCTCCCTTTTTCTTTTACTGTTTCAGATTACTCAAAATACAGTCCATAGACTTCAGCCAGTATGGCTCAAATGTTTCCCAGACTTTTGCAATTGTA